AGAGCCAGAGCAGAAGAAGCCTGCATGGGGAGGTCCACGCTGTGACAGGACCAGGTTCTGTGGTGAGCGCACCAGCCCGTCTGCACTGGAGAGAGCATCTGCCTGGGAGGCGGCTGCAGCCCCGGACCCGCGCCCTGCTCATTAGGAAACAGGAAGTCCTCGTTTCACCCTCTCCTGTCCCACACAGCACATCCCAAGACGCCTCAGCACATGTCCAAACCACAAGCTCCAGTGACAGAAAAAAGTCTCTCTTCATGTTGGATCATGAGGTTTCAAGGAAATTTAAAAAATCTACTTCCTGTAGTTTTACATAAATACAAGCCAACAAATGCCTCTTCCTGGCTCCTTCTCCAGGAAGAGTGAGAAGCAGCAGGATTTGTGAGGCATCCCCGCTCCCAGGAGGGGCTCCTCCTGCCTGCAGCTGAAGAGGAGCACAGGCTGAGCTCAGGACCAGTCCACTGTGGATGCCCACCAGCGCAGCTAAGCACCTGAAGAGCTGCCTGGTCTCACGCCCAGTGAAATCTATCAACCTGCAACGAGGACCTAAAACACCGCCTGCAACAACGGCACAAGAGAGAAGCGACAGCTTCACCTATGGCTCCAGGGTCCAACTGCCAAGGTCAAGTCCAGCAAGGGCCAGCAGGCTCTGCCGGAGGCTCAGAGCAGGCAGCTCCCTCCCCCTCCCCCCGGAGCAGGCAGCCCCTCGGAGCAGGCAGGGTGGCATGGGGGAGGCAGGGGCGCTGGGGACAGTGCTGGCTCAGAGAAAAGGCGTCTCTGTGCCTCACCCACTCGGGAGCACCCTCTCCCTCCACAAGGGCCGGACCAGGACTGCTCCTGATGAAAGGTGGGCGCGTCCCGACAAGACAACGCAACGTGCAGAGGAAGCAGGCTCCGCTCCTCACGTTCTCCGGGGCCTCTCACCCGAGAGGCTTTCTGTCAGGACAGGGACGTAAAGCAATCTCAGGACAATCATGTTCACAAAAATCCCCTCTTCCTAAGATGTCGTAATCAGTTTGGCAAAACAAACCTCTGGATTCTGTCGGAGCCTAAATCCCGTGGATCTGATTTCTAAGAATGACAAGACTCAGGCCTTTGCCTCGCTGTACTCAAGTCCCTCAGATGCACCGCTTTAACACGCAGGCTGCCGAAAACGTGTAAGGAAAAGAAACCTTCCCCATATCCTCGGAGGGAAGTCGGCATTCTCCCTCTCTGCTTCCCGCATCGAGGAGGCGAGGCCGTGGAACAGACCTACCAGGCA